GGCTAACTCAATATCCTCTTTCTGTGTGAAAAGCTATTTGCAACATATCCTCTTTTTCCGTTGCAGAAGGTTTACTAAGGGTCAAACTTATTGTTTGTTCAAAGTGCACTGAGCCATTTTCTTCAAAATAAGCCCGAACCGAAGTATGTGGGTATGCATCTTATGAAAATTCAATCTCTTATATATCAACAATTATGTTTACAAATAAATAGAGGATGAAATCATTTTGGAAAGTTTCAGTGCTAATACTCTTCATTCATTTATCATTAAGGTGCTTATTCCGATATTGAACAAGAAAGTTGGGATGGGGCGCAATAACCTCGACTAAAACCTAACCTGACTACTAACGAGTAATGGTTTCTTCTATTGTTAGAGGAAGCTCTGGTTCAGACGATAAAGGGTAGAGAAATAAAGAATGACAGACAAGAGACGGTGGATTTAACAGTGTTTGTTTAAAAAATAATTCTCTCCGGTTCATTATATTTTTGTGACTTTCACTGAAAGTTTGGATTATTAGGGTAAAAATTTGAAGTAGGGATTATTTTTGTATAATTGGTAGAAGTAAGGATTAATCTTGTCATTTTTGCCATTTATCTATGAGACACAGTAGCACTCAAAATAATAATCTATTGGTAGTATTAAAATCTTCACCGCTGACCGTTACCCAATTCTTAATTATGTCCTCTATGTTCCAGTTCTTCATCACAGTTTTTTTTTTTTTTGAAAAACATCATAGTTTATTATCTCTGTTCTTGATTATAATTGTGTTCGAAAGTGAATATGAGTGTTGCCAGTTTAAGTTCGGAGACAACTAATATGTTGTACAAATACAAATGTTGTACAATATCACAAATTATAAGTGAATATGAATATAACAAATTAGACAAATTTGGAAATTATTCATTACTACTTTGTAGTAATGAATAATCAACCACTAAGTTGTTGTAGGTTAAGTTCAAAACTTAACCTACTTGAACATCAACCACACAGTTTTTACTTTAGAGAATATTACCCGAAATAGGACTAAAAAGGTTTGAAAATTGTGTTCGTAAGTGAATATGAGTGTTGCCAGTTTAAGTTCGGAGACAACTAATATGTTGTACAAATACAAATGTTGTACAATATCACAAATTATAAGTGAATGTGAATATAACAAATTAGACAAATTTGGAAATTATTCATTACTACTTTGTAGTAATGAATAATCAACCACTAAGTTGTTGTAGGTTAAGTTCAAAACTTAACCTACTTGAACATCAACCACACAGTTTTTACTTTAGAGAATATTACCCGAAATAGGACTAAAAAGGTTTGAAAATTACAAAATAGGACTGCCATATTTTTATTCCCAAAATAGTACTAATTACTGCCATATTTTGGCAGTACCAGACTTCAAACATGGCAGTATTTTCCAAACCTGGCAGTAATTACTCCTATTTTGGGAATAAAAATTATGACAATTCTATTTTGGAATTTTCAAACTGTTTTAGTCCTATTTCGGGAACTTTCCCGAAATCTACAAGCAAGTCAACATTGAACAAGTTTTATGGGACGGAAGGAGTAATACTCATGGAAAATGCCTAGATTATTTTGAAAAAATATATTTGTCATAAAAAATCTGTTTATTATTTAAATAGCATGAATGTGAATGCTCTTAGACACAAATAAACGTTTCTAGTCGTGACGATGAGAGACCACACTTGGAGTTTGTTTGTTGGCCCCATGTGTTTCGACTTATTAGCCAGTTTTTTCACCAAACATGTTACTTTTAATTTCACACACTCAATTGTTTAATAATACGAAAAGTAAAATTGAAGTTAGTTTTTGTGTTGAACTGGGTGAAATTACTGTAGAGAATCATTTTAACTATTTTGATATAATTTGGCGCAAAAATTAAAAAGCTATAGCACTTAAAACAAAAAATGGTTTTTTATATCTTGGGCCCCACCATTACCTCTCTCTTCCATTTGGTACGAGCAACTCATTAGTTTGCATTGCTTCCTCCTCGCATAAGTCTACGCATAAGTAGCCAATTGGATTGGGACTTCTTATTAAGGGCTGGTTTGCAAGAGGTTTAAAAAAAGCAATTATCAGTTTTTGACTTTAAAAAGCACTTATTTATCAAACACTACTAATTTTTTACTTTTCTCAGCTTTCGTGTCAAAAGTGCTTTTCCCATTTTTATACACTACCAACTTTTACTTTTCAAAATCACTTTTTTTCTCAAACACCATATCAACTTTTACAACTAATCACTTTTTCCAAATCACCCCAAAAGTGCTTTTTTTAAAGCAGAAACTGTTGCAAACACTCCCTAACTATGGTTTGGGTAGCACTATTTTGGTAAAATACTTTTAACCCGACCCTATTTTCGTAAATAGTTTTTTATTTAACATTATTTCGGGAAAATTTCAAAAAAAATGAATTTAATTTTTTCATAATTCAACAAATTAAACTAATTCATTGTTTCAGCAAAAAATTAATCAATTTCAACAAATTGAACGGATTTTATTAATTTCAAAATTATTAAACACGCTCTTACACATGGTGACATAGGCGAGTGAATTACTTCCATTATTAGTGGGTGGGGCAGCGGGGGTTGGGGGTGGGACACTACAAACAAATGAAGTAAAGCGTTGCGTATTTGGATGAGTTTGTAGCAAATCATTCAGAATCACACAAACGGGTGAACGGAACCAAATTCTTGTTGTGGCTAATAAAGGGATGGACCCCTCACCCCTTTGTCATAACCCGTCTCCATTTCTTGTTTAAGCTATGATCATTTTTCCTAAAACCGGAGAGCATTTTACTAATATACGAGTGTAACACCCGGGCATGTCCCGGTACTGTTAATTTGATATGGATCAATTGAAAATTTCTAATAAACATTGTGAATTATTCATAGGATATGATCAAAAGTTTGACTATATATACTATCCTCTGTTCTTTAAAAATTGCAACAGTTTGAATTTCATGTTTGCAAACGCACAACTTTGACTGTAATTATATTTATTACGTATTAGTAAATATTAAAAAAGGTTAACATTTTGAAAATTCAAATTAATAGAAATTTAATCATTTTATACATAATATTTTAGAAAAAGTTACATTATATATATATATATATCATTAGAAAAACATAGTCAAAGTAAGCTATGTAAACAGTGCATGCAACTTTTAAAAAAACGGAAGAAGTATTTCTTTTATGAACTAACCACCCCATGAAATACAGGTGAGGAATCACCATGTTTTGGAGAATGATTTTGTGGTTACATTGTGGTTTATGTGCTTATTGTTGTAATAGTTAATAATTATTTATAGGGCTAATTATATGATGAGGGGTGATAGGAAGTGATGAATTGGAATTGGGGATATGTGGAGTTCACAATTTTAAATTATTTTGGATATTCACGTGTATTATCGATGTTATACGATTAGAGTGTGTATTAGTCTCGTTATTTAAATAATTCAATGTTGTACAATTATTTTGGAAACTAAATTAATATTGTATTTATTCCAAGAATTATACTCTATTAATATGGTTGTATGAAGAAGTTGTTCTATTCGTCTGATATTGATAATATTTATGATTTGAAAATTTTAAGACCCCATGTGATCTGGTCTGATCTTGTATGATCCCGTGGTACGAATCTTTCTGATCTGAATCTTCTAATCTGATCGAACTGATCAGAGTTTTTCTGATTTTTATCTGATTTGAATCATTCTGATCTGATATAAAAAATTATGTGATTGACTATTTATTAGTATTATTAAGTTATTATTATTGTGATTATCATTGTCATTATTATCAATCATATTTATAATTATAATTATGACTATAATTACAATTATAACTATAAATATAATTATAAGAGGGTTTTCCTAAAATATTACTAATACAAAAGTCATGAACAAAAATGTGACTTGGTAACTTATTGGTGAAATTTGTGCGGTTCTAAATTATTCCTGCTAACATTGTCTCAATTTGTCATTTCGCTCTGTCACATACTAAATTTAGTGAAATTTGTGCGGTTCTAATATATTCTAACTTTATTCTTTATCAATTCAGTATGAATCACGTATAACCACTTTTATTGGTATGCATGTTACTCCCTCTTGTGCCATTGTTAGTGGGACGTAGGAAGTAATACATTTAAAAAAAGATTTGTTTTTTCTCCTTCCCTTTCTCCCAATGAGTAGTGGTGCATGTAGTGAACAACAATGATGAACCGAGCCAACCTATATAGATTAAATATTTTAGTAGTCGTGATAGTAGAATTTTTATTAATCAACAGAACTTTTTAATTAGCTTTGCTGTATTTTAGTAGGAGTAATATATATATTTGCATATTTATATGATATTAATGTCACATGAAAGATCATAAAAAATTATGATTTTTGGTATGTAATTTTTTTTGTAAAAATTGAATTTTACATATAAAAGTTAAATCACTTTTAAAAAGAGAGATTTTTTCTCCTTCCCTTTCTCCACATCAGACGTGATGCACATGAGAGAAATAATAGGGATGAACCGTGAGTTAATTGATTGATTTTGTTGTAGTCACAATAGAATTTAGACTGTTCAATAAGAAGTTGACACATCATTGATTTTAAACCAACTTTACTATATAATACGAAGTATAAAACAATATATAGATATTTTTCTATTTTATATATATGATATTAGTGTCATATGGAAGATCATAAAAAATTATGAATTTTGTTATATTTTTTGTAAAAATTGAATTCTAAATATAAAAGTTATATCACTTTAAAAAAGTGAGATTTTTTCTCCTACCCTTGCTCCAAATCACCGGTGATGCACTCATTCACAAGAGAGAAATAATAGGGATATTAACCGTTAGTTAATTAATTGATTTATTTGAAGTGATAATAGAATTTGATTTGTCCAATAGAAAGCTGACACACCATTGATTTTTAACTCAACTTTACTATATAAAACAATATAGATTGCGATACTATATTATATTAGTGGAATAGCCCAAACCAATTCTAAACTGTCAGAAAATCTATGGAGAAAACAACGTGATGCGAAAGCTTTGAGGCTAGCTAGAGCCAACGCTAAGAAAAACCCTAGGTGGCGAATTGCTGGACAAATCTAATCTCCTAATTTTCTCTTCTCCGATTGGGAACGGTCTTCGATGATGACGACATTCTCTGGACGGTAACGAATCAAGGGTTTTCTAATGTTATTGCTCTTTTTTTATTTCTACTTTCTAAGGTTTCGGACCATGCCTTCTAACACCTAGCTGAAACGATAGTCAGTTGTTATACCATGGGAACAACCCATGGTGAGCATGGTGCTCTGATAGCTGAAACACGCGGGGACAATTGTTTTTGTCTCAGTAGCAGATTGACGTAACTCGCGTGTAAAGAAATATAACTCACGTTGATATGACATGTAACTGCATGCAAATCGAAATATATATAACTTGTTTAATACAGACTATAAGAAATAAAATATTGATTTTAGCATAAACAACGAAAAAAGTAGTCTAATTGCTCAATTACTTTACGTAAATAGTGAATATGTTTTGTTTTTTAATATTAAGGGCGTAAAAATGTTTTTTGAAAATCATTTTTTTGCCAAAAAAATCCTTTTTTGAAAAAAAAAACTGTTTTTTGTTTCAATAGCAAGAATTTATGTTGTGATGCAACTCGCGCTATGGAAACTGTAACACACATGGATGGAAAATCTAATTTAGGTATATGCAAAATGTAACTTATTGAGACAAACCAAAATGTAACTGGCGCATAGAAAGATGTAACTCACGCACAAGAAGATATAACTCGCGCATAAGAAGATGTAACACCATATACTATCAAATGTAACTCCAAAAGTTGTCTATAAACATAACTCAAACATATGAAAAATCTAATCTCATGTTTTATCAAATTTAAATCGCAAAAACAAATTTAATGTCTTAAAAACACTAACTACATACAAAAGAGATAAGAAATATATTATTTTTTTGCAAAGAGATAAAAAAAAATATTATAGAAAAAAGTGTATGAATATGAAATACTCCGTATATTTTACAAAACAAGTGTATAAATGTAAGAAAAATATGTTACTCCGTATAACAAAAGGTAAGTTACGACTGGAGAGTAGCGAAGTTTTAGAGAGCCGGCCCTAGGGGAAACCCTAGGCGGCCATCCCGAACCTCCTTCAAGATCTGATTTTCAATATTTTCTTTTCCAATCAGTAAAAAGTTTTGGAAGATGGTGACATTCTCTATGCAGTGAAAGATCGAATCAAAGGTTTTTCAATGCTTCCGCTCTTTTTTAATTTCTACTTTTGAGGATTTTGGTCCGGCTTCTTCATTGGCCGAGATTTTTGTCCGCTTCATGTGAGCGTGTGGCGTGTTATTCTCCTAGCAATGTCTAGAGGTTGTGTGTTTATAATCGGTGTAATCGATGTGGTGAATTTTCGTTGTTCATGGTTGGTAAAGCTTTTTCAACCTTGTTGTTCCGATGCTTCAAATACTCGCCTACCACCTGAACCACCGCCTCGCTCTGTGAAGAAGAAGATGATCAATTGGATCTCCTTTTCAGTGGCTGGTCAAACCGATGCTTCAGAAAATTTTTGCTCGACTGATTTTCCGTTTTTGGTTGCTGGTCAAATCAATTCTCCCTTTCCGGTGGCTGGTGAAGTCAGATCTTTTAGTTGTAATTTTTTATTTTCTCTTTGGAGTAGCAAGAAGAGTAGCAAGGCTGTTAGACTAGACTACATTATTGCGGGGTTAGCGATCTGGAGGGACTCATTGAATCTGTTCCGTTCTATGTCTCATCCCATTGTAGCCTTAGGCTATTCATTGTCTTGTATCTTTGCTATCGTTTAATAATAAATTAGTTATTTGATTTTCAAAAAAAATGTAAGAAAAATCACACACACACACAAATCGGTAATAATTTCTGTTGAAGAAAAAAGTAAAAAAAAAAAAAACAGTGTATGGTTATTAATGCAATATACTTATTTTAGGTGGATTAATAAAATTTTGTAATAAATTTGTAAATAAAAAAATTTAATTGATCAATTATAATTTAATTAGTTAAAAATAAAGATAAGTAAAATCACAATTAAATTTATAATATTTTGATGGAGAGGAGAAAACAATTGAAGAAAATAAAAAAAGAAATAAAGAGAGAGAAATAACATATCTTGAGAAGTGAAGATCTTGAAGGAAAAGAAAGTGGAAGATTTGAGGGGAAAGAAACAAAAACCTCCCAGCAAAATAGAACTCATGGATAATCGGGTATCCAAAGTATATAAAATGGGAGAGATTGAACTTAAATGGAGAAGATGAATGTGTAATGTATTATTATGAATAAATATGGAATTAGAGTTACAATGTCTCCAATCTCCATAGAGACTATATATAGAGAGAGAACGGGCCAGACCGCTAATATGGGCCCGATAGGCCCAACTACATAAAAATGCTAATCTAGTAGATACAAATACATATTGAACTGTACAATAATATGAATAATGATAACCACTAAGCGTGTGTGGGCCGCTGTTCGGGCCAATAGTCGTGACACCCGGGGGTCCGAGTCTATATTAAGGGTGGACTCGGTTCGGGCCGGGCCCGGTTCGGGCCTTGAACCAGTCAGGCCTCGGTTCAAGGTAGGGGAGGCCCGGAACCGGCCCGGGTAACCCCCGGGTCCGGTTCGGGCCGGTCCGGGCCGGGCCCGGTTCGGTTATATATATATATATATATATATATATATATATATATATATTGGGGTTTTCCTAATCAACCCCCTACCCTCCCCCTCAACCCCAAACCACCCCAAACCACCTCAAATGGCCCAAAATACCCAATCCAACCCAAAAACTTAAAAAAATTCAAAAAAAAAAAAAACCGGCCCGGACTTGGCCCGAACCGGCCGGGCCGGTTCACCAAAATGAAGGCCCGAGCCCGGAACCGGTAGCCACCGGGCCGGGTCGAACCGAACCGCCCATGGGCCGGGCCGGGCTGGTTCAAACAGTGACCGGGCCGGGCCGGTTCCGGTTCGGGCCGCCCAGCCCGACTCCACCCCTAGTCTATATACTCTATCATGTACCGTATTTGGTGTCGGTATACCATGAGAATGGTATAATGGTACCATGGTATAATTTAATAAAAGAAAGGTTGCTCATGTAAATGGAGTAGAATATTCATTTTGGATGGATGTAACACAACTACCAATTAAATTAAATCACATTAATTTTTGGGAAAAGTACACTTTACATACCTGTGGTTGTTGCCGTTTGCAATCAGGGGTCTGTGATCAACTTTGCAACAAACCCAAGCTTGTGCTTTCCTACCGTTACCACCCGCGGGGTCTAAGCGACTGGCCCGTTAGTAATACGCTACGTGGCACTTTTTTTTTTGCTTACGTGGCTTGTAATCCCAATCTATTACCACCATGTGTGATTACATGGCTTTTTATCCCTAGTCCATACCCTGTTAACCTATTTGGACCATATACCCAATTACGAAATCCATTCCCCTCTTCCACAAACACAAATACAAATTTGAAGAGATGAGTTCTTCTAATTCGAGCTCCTGTGCGATGGATGGAAGACAACAAATCAAGAAGTGCGGCTGTGGAGTCCAAGCTCCTATTTGGACGGCGACAACAGAGAAGAATCGGGGGAAAAAGTTTCATGGTTGCGGGCGTTATTATCGAGGGGGCGAACAACAATGCAATTTTTTTGAGTGGGTTGAAGAAGATACATGTCGTACTTGTATGGATAACTTAGATGCTGTTATTGAGAAGGTCAGAAGACTTGAACAATATGTCCAGATGAAAGAGTTGGAGATGGAGGGTGAAATAAAGACCTGTGTGCGTGAAATTGGTGTGTTGAAGGTTCAGAACATGGAACTGCAACTGCGGATGTCTAAGAATCATAATGTCACTTTTAAGTGGAAGCTGCTCTGTCTGGCCATGTTAATTTTCATGTTCTTTGCAAGTAGAAGATTTTAGGTCTAAGTTGTTTGCTAAGTTTTCGATGAAATGACCAAACCACATGTAATTGTGTTTGGGGATTCCTTTAGTTTAAATTCATGTGAGGCGTTTTGTTGTGAGTGATGTCCAATGTAATGCACCAATGTAAGAACCTTGTAAGGGTTGATTTCAGTTTGTATGAAGTTTTTGGCTGTAACAATTTGTGTGAACTTGTTTAATGTTATAGCAGTTTATTTCTCCACATCTTCTTTTGGTTAATGTTATAGTACATATACTGGGAGTGCTGTGAACTTCTTTAATGTCATAGTGGTGTTACAGAACAGCTTCTTTTGGGTATGACATTCTTAAACCAAAAGATTGATTCAGGCTTTACCTTGAAAACACCAATGAGTAACCAGATTACCAAAGTAAACAAGTACTTTCCATCCAACACAAATACTAAACTGAACATATACCAAAACACTGACCTACAACAACTTCACTTAACATAATATGGTGCACACCCAAAAGATTGACCTACAACAACTTTACTTAAAATACCAAACTGAACATATACCAAAACACTGACCTACTTCCCCAGATAATAAAATGGTCCCCTGAACCATATTCACAGTGCAACCACTCCAAGGTTCTTTACTCACCCAATATGGTTTGATATGCAACATTACAGATTAACATGACATCCATATTTATACATAACACCAAATCTATCCAATTTTCACACATCCATTACATCCAATTTGCACACATCCATATTTATACATTAAACCAAATTCATCCAAAAGATTAACATTGAAGAAGTTAACATAAACAGAACATATGGTTTCCTAAACCATATTCACAATGCTTACATAAGAGATTCAGAACATATGCTAACCACAAAATATGTTCCTTACATAAGTATCATTACAAAACACATGCTTACTAAGGCATGATTTAAAAGTTCATATACTGATATCTAAACATGTCTACTAAAGCACCATTCTTCTTCTCCCCACAACAAAACTGCAACATTCCTGGTCTCTTGTCAGTTAATCCTCAACTTTGTGTGCCCTGGAAAAAGTAATAACATCATAATAAGTGTAAAACCAACACGTTACAAGAGTAACAATTGAGACCATACAATTACCATTGAGGGCTGTGTACTTGAGGACCTAGTCACTCTTTTGGAAGATGGTTGGGGTGGTTGTGAAGTGCTGATTCTCCTTTTCTTCTTTGTTATTCCTGTAGTGCTTTGGGAAACCGGATCATGGGTCATGGGAGTTGTCAATCCACTGTCATTATTGGTTGTCTGAACTGGCTCATGGGAGGTTGGTTCAGAAATATCATCAACACCCTCTGCTTCTGTTTGGACATTTTTCTTCTTTCCTAATCTCTTTCTCCTTTGCCATGGTGTTTCTCCAGTTATGGATGTCTTACACCCTCTGACATTGTGTCCCACTTGCTTACAGTTGCCACAAACCACCTGCTTACCTGCCCTAGACACCTTGAAAGGATTCTTTGTTTCATCAGGTTGTTTAATCCTCTTCTTTTTTGGTCTTCCTGCAGGTTTTCTAGGGATTGGGGGCACAATATCTGGAGTCTCTGTCCTCTCCCACTCATCTTTACTTGGCAGAGGATGGATAATGTGTTTATACACAGCTAAGTAGGTGGATTTAGCATAAAAAGGACTTACATAGTCTTCAGGTTTTTCTCGATTTGCATATATAGCAGACACTCCATGCTTACAAGGGATGCCATTTAAGTCCCACCTTCGACATGTACACGTCATGTCTTTTAGATTAACCACATGGCTAGTATCAAAAAAATCTACCTCAAACAACTTGTCTCCAGCAGGAGTGGAAAAACAATTCCTACTTTCAAATTTCAACTTTTCAAGTAGATCCTGCTTATTAGGACATATTTCACCCTTATATTTCATCATGGCAGTGTACTTAACATGAAACCTAGCCATTAATCTTCTTCTAATCCACTCAAACATGCTCAAAATATGCATATCTCTTGCTCTGAGTATGTATGCATTGAATGACTCACAAATGTTGTTCTGAAGAGCATCAGAATGTGCTAGGGTTGAGAAATGGGATCTGCTCCAAGTACTTGGCTCATACTGCATAATCCAGTTGTAAGCAGCCTCATCAAAGCTCTTGATGCCTTCCATTTGCCTCTGCCATGACCTCAGACTTCCAGTGCTAGCTGCAAACCATAGTTTTTTTTGTATTCAGGCCCTCTAAATATCTTCTTGTAATTCTCATACATGTGCTTCACACAATATCTGTGCTCATTTGCAAGTGAAACAGCTTTAAATGCTTCAACTAGTCCCTGAAACAAAGTAGCAATTAGAAACAGTATATGGAAACAACAAAAGGACTTCTTTATGCATGATATAGGTACACATTTTTAACACACCTTCTGCTTGTCTGACATGAATACCCAATTAGTTTCTTCTGGTCTTCCAAAATCTTCAAACAACATTTGCAAGAACCAAGTCCATGAAGCTTTGTCTTCACTGTCCACATAAGCTATAGCAAGAGGAAACATGTTTTCATTTCCATCCCTTGCTACAGCACAAAGCAGTTGGCCTCCCATTGGTGTTTTCAAATGGCACCCATCTAACCCAATCAAGGGTCTAAGACCTGCAAAGTAACCCTGCTTCTGAGCACTAAACCTCATGTACATGTATTGGAGCATTAGAATTTCCTTTGGTATTCTTGGTACACCCTCTGCAGCACCACCTTCTTCATTCACATCCCTAGCTTCGGTTTTGAT